CATGGCATCTTGGGATAGCTTACAATCATTAAAAAGAACAACAATAAAACAGCAATAAATAACAATTAACCAAAAATACAATTAAATAAGTTAAATAAAAGTGACTGTTAAACATTAAAATTTTAAATTAATTTTTAAAATAACAGTTAAATAAAAAGGTTTTAACCTGGTACCAAAAAGAATATAAACTCTTAGAAGCTGTTGACTTCATTTAGCAAATGCAAGATCTGCAATCAGATGATATTGCGTGGCTGGATGTGCAACAGTTTGCTGCTTGCTCCTAGGTACCAGCCTTTCCCACTGTTCCAGGTTTCTCCTGACATGTGGATTGCTAACAAAGATGCTTAGATGGCACCTGGATTGCTTTGGAGGCAAAAAACAAGGCTTATAAGATGCAATTATTATTCAGTAGATAATCTGCATTGTTCAGCTGTCTTAATTTGGAGAATTTCTACAGCAGCTAACAGAACACTGTACCTCCTTCTGATTAACACATCTGCAAACATATGGAGTGAATCCAGATTTAGTCATACTTAGAGTACACACATTAAAATAAATAGGACTTAAATTAGCTAAAGTCCCATTGCTTTCAAAAGGACTACTTTAGGTATAATTAAATCTGGAGCCAATGCATTATGGGGTTGGATCTAGAGTTACACCAAATCAACCGCTTTAGTAGAAGTGGACTTCCCCATCCACTCCTTCCCACAGCAGCTCCTTCAGCAACCTGAAAATGCTGCACAGAGAGTCGGAAGACCCCAAGGGGTCTGTGTGTGTGTGAGGCTTTCCCCTGTAGGGCAGAGGGACCTTCTGTGATCTCTGTCTTTCTTCTCATGGAAAATCTCCTTCTCTTACTGAATGCCAATCCTAGATCCAACCCCATGCTTGGAGACATAGCTTCTCTGCATATTAGAAGAACATGAAGTGTTGTGTCTAGCTTACTGTTTAATAACAGCTGAAGGGAGCTGATGTGTGTCAGAAATTATCTCTTTCCTATTAGTGGTGCAGCCTTCTCTCTCTGGTGGGCAAGAAATGGGCATTTTATCTACTCCAGCAAGTTGTGTTCCTTATGAGCTTTACTTTGGAGTAACTTTAATTATTTATTTTCGATACTGTCCAACAACCAAAGCTGTATGGGTGGATTACAACAGCATGTTAAAAATACAATATAAAATGTAGCCATAATAAAACATCATAGAAAAGCTTATGATTCAACATCCAAAACTATATTTAAAACAGACTTAATTACAAGAATTTGAAGAAAAATCTTAAGACCTATTTAGCTGCTAGCAAGCCCCATTAGACCAATTCAGTGCCCTGTAGTAGAGGACATTCTTTACCTGTTGCTGAAAGATAGTGAATTGGTACCAAGTACACCTCAGAGGGGAGTTCGTTCCATAACTGGGGAGCCACCACTGATAAGGCCTTTCTCCAAGCCTCTCTTAGAGGTGATAGTCTGAGGCAGGCCTGAGAACTTGATTCTGGTGTCTGGGTAGATGAAAATTGAGGTGTTTGTCAGGTATTGTGGTTCCAAGGCATGAAGGGCTTTATAGGTTAAAACCAGCACCTTGGATTGGGCTTGGAAGCGTATAGGCAACCAATGCAAATGGGCCAAAATTGGTGCTATATGGTAGAACATCTGGTCCCTGTTATTAGACCCTGGCTGCCTCATTTTTGCACAAGCTGCAGTTCCCAACATCCTCAAGTTAGAATGTTGAGCACACGCTAACTCACCCATTCAAGATACAGTGTCCTTGAACTGGAACTCATCCAAAACACCTAGACCAGACTGTGCTCTGGATGTCTCATCATCAGGACTTGAGATATCTAAATTCTGGGGGATACATGAGAGTTTGTCCTGGAACTGCATAGCAAATACATTACAACAGACTTCAGATGGCTCCATCTCCTCAGGACCAGTATGTAATAGGCTCCAGCTCTGTTGTGTGGCAAACAGAAGATTGAATGGAGGCAGTCAGCTTGTTGTTTCTTTGCTGCTCTTACTGCCTCCAAATATATTCAACTGTAAGTACATTGAATATATGTGCACTGATCTGGCATTTAAAAGCAGCATCTGGAGACCATGAGGGAAGGCTGATAGGGCAATCAGCAAACCTGTGGTGGGGAGCAGGACCAGAACATGGCACAGTTATTAATTGCCTGGGCTGTGTTCCCCTTACCTGGCTAGCCCTCCACCCAACCCATGCCTCCTCATACCCATCACTAAACTGATTGACCCCCCACATCCTCTACTGCACATGCACAGCGCTTATGAAAAAGAACCCCTCCCTCCGGACACAGAAAATAACAACATTGGAGGGCGGGGTTGCCCTTGCATTCCCTGCATAGGGCCCTTCAGGGTTGTTGCTGCCAGAGTGTCACTGCCCCCTCTCTGGCTGGCAGAAAGAGTCCTACTGCATCTCCACATCAGGTGAGAGCTGTTACCCAGGTGAGTCCACAGCAGGTAATCATGCAGGCAGGCCTCATTGCAAGACTGGACCCCCTATAACTTCTCTCAGCAGTTTCTAAATCTGCTCAGCCCCTGTCAGCCAGGAAAAGGCTGGTGGAGAGGCTGAGTCAGGTAAAGGCTGGCAAGGTGCTAAAGAAGACATTCCTGCCTTTGCTGAGAGAGTCCAGAGCTGCTGGTCAAGGCTGCAGTTTTCAGGTCTGATGGAAGTCCTGTGCTGGGCTGGCAGAAATTGATTGTATTTGTGTCTTTCTCATTCATCTTTTGTATCACAAAATGTATCTTGACACAGCTAATAAATATCTTCCTGTCTCCTCACTCTCTTGCTTGGGAATCTGTTGTTTGAAATAATGGTTATGCTTGCAGTTTTAGTCAGGTGTTCTGCTGTAATAAAATGCAATATGTACAAGCAACAGGTGAATGCATGCTATCTGTGCTTTTCTATGAACATAAGTAGATCAACAAACCAGGAAGGGATAGCTTGGCATGACAGTCAGACCTGGTATTATGGTTAAGTGTGCCAAAATAAGCCAGGATTACAAGCCAAGATTTCTGGTTTATGAATCCTGGCTTGTTTGAATGCACTTAATCATGATTCTGGGTTCGGACATCAACACAAAGCTATTTCTTCCTACTTTGTTTATCAGATTGTGTGAAAGGAGGGGAACAGGAGAAGCAAACAGGCTGTATATACCAATATGCCACTAATATTATTGTCTATTATGCCAGAATTCCTGGCTTAAAGTGTCATGCAAATTTGGCCAATGTTTAGTCTCTCTTCTTTTTCACTTGTGATCTTCTCAGTCAAGCACAATGATAAATAATTGTTTTTCCTCCTCATGGGAGGAATTTATTGCACTCCAACTCCGAACACATAGCTATAGTAAACATCCAATACATTAAACACTAAAAATGCAAAAAGGATTCTAATGTAGTCATAGTCATTAATAAAACACAGTGCTAGACTGCAATAAGGGAAAATCAGTCTATCTTTTTCTAACTTCAGTTTACCTCACAGTTAAATATATTTTAAAAAATAAATGGGTGGGTTGATCTTATATTCCCTGGAGGCTTCTTAAAATGATGAGTATAATTTGAATCACAACAGATTACGTTAGGAAGCCTAGCTTTCCAAACCCTTCTCTTTCTTCCATTCTTAGAACTATATTTGTCAGTAAGATGCTTTTCCATGTTTGCTAATGGCTTTCCTTGGAGGGCCGGAAGCTGAATTAGAGGATGTGTGTGCACTCTGAGAAAGGGGCTCCCTTAAAAGTCTTTTACATCATTAATGAAAATGTTTGTCTTTCTTTAACTTGCATTGCAGCTGGTGACACTGCCCTGATGTGCATTGATGCACACTGTGTGATTAACACTGAATGGAAAGCTGTGGTTAAAGGCACAGTAGTCTCAGAACAACATAAAGTCTCTAGTTGGTTGGTCCACATATGAGCAATGACTAACTTGACCACACTTGCTGCACCATAATCAGCCAAGAGTACATTGCACGATTTTTGGAGTGTGGGGAGAAATCTCTTTTCCTCCTGGATTTGAATGGATGGATTATCCTCTCAGTTTGGGTGGATAGTGCAATCTTGTTAATTTGGCATTTATTTATACTGTTTGTTTTTTTCTTTAAACTGTGATTTTAATGGTTTCAACACATCTTTAGGCCCCTACTGTATAGGAGTGGGAATAAGGTGGGATTAATATCACAATTGTTATGCACAGCGTACCTGCTTGTGAGAAACTTTCTGCATTCCATGTGCTGGATCAGAGCAAACATGGAGAAACCTGTATAAATAACATTTATAAATGCTTCTTCATTCCTCTGTGTTCTGCTATTGAGCTATTCAGCTATTTACCCTTCTCTGATCCTTCATTTATCTCTTTCTGTGTCCTAATCTTGTTGTGCATTTTTAGACTGCCAAACAAAGTTCAGGTGGTGGGAGAAGAGAAAGAATCCTTTTTTAAAAACTAAACTATAGTGCTTTGATTTTGAAAGACAGTGTAAGATTCCTTTTCTGTAAGTTTGTGAGGGACAAATCATTCAGCCAGCTCAAAGGGCCCCAGAGCTATGAAACCCTCAGTGGAATAGTATTAGTAGGAAGCTATTTTGTTAACCTACAAAGCTTCTTGTATTTTGCTGAAAAGTTTGAGGTATGTGTACAATACACATTTAAGCAGGTCTGACTTCATGAGCTACCTTTCCTCTGGCAGAACACTAGCAAGAGGTAAATCACTTTTTCAGCTCCTCCATAGAAGTTGAACTGTGTGTCAACATTCTGCAGACAGACTATTCCTGAGAAGTTGGAATGTTTTGGAATATTCTGCGACACTATAACCATTTAATCAGTGCAGGGGTAAGTGAAAGATGCAATTTGAAGGAGATAGCAGAGGCTGGACAGCCCCACGAAACTGCAGCTGCTGCAGCCAGAACAATAGCTGTTATTACGCGATTATTTTACCTAGGGTATTAGTAACCTTGCTTTTTAACCTCTTCCCAACATCATCCTTTCATCTGTTCTTTCTACAGAGTGGCAGTGGCGTCTCAATTCCTGCTATGAAGATGGTCAATCCAGCATCACGACTGAAGCAAACACAGCAAGGCAGCCCAGACAAAAGCAAACACATAAAGCAACGCATGGAATACATGCGCATCCAGGGCCAACAACAGGTAGTCTATCTGTAGGAAGCCATACAACTCTGTTATAGGAGCTCTGGCATGTAATCAGGCTGAATTAGGGTCCTTTCATTTTTGTATTTGGGCAGAAGCAAGCAGACAGGAGGCAGAAGTTAATCCTGTCCCCTGAGGGGTGGGGTAGGGATGGGGAGAGGCATACCTGCCTCAGCTTCGAATGCAAATTCTTTATGACCCTTGGGAACATACTCCAGATTTGCAGCATGGTTTTAGAAATTATGGCTGTGATAACATCCTCTTCCTGCCTATAGCCCTAACATCTGCCCACTCTTGGGTATATCTGTATGAAGGGCTACATAGTTGAATTGTGGCAGTGACACTGGAAGTAGAGGAAGGAGATGGGGGTCCACTATCCATAGGCATACATATGGCAGAGGCTGAAGTCAAAAGTAACAAACATTCATTTCCAGTGTGTGTGTGCCATGAGGCCAGAATAGGACTCCCATCTCCCTTGACCATAAGTTCTGTTCCTCAGTGGCTAAAGTTCCATGTGCATGCAACTTCCAGGAGAGCCTTCTCCACCCTGTAAGGCTTTTCCTTGGCAAGTTATGATGACCATGTAAGCCTAAGTACTTGGTTGCTCACTTTGCTGTTTCAGAGTAGGTGAGTACTTGTTATTGAGATGGCCAGGTTTAAAAAGATTTAAAGGTACTATCCAACATATTAGCAGAGGCCCTTCCTTTTCCCTGCCAGAGAAGGGGGTGGTATTAGATGTGATGTGACTGAATCCATGTTCACCCCCCCCCATTTCACCACACATCCATGTGTGTATGCCCCTGACCCTTCCCCATGCATGGCATGCACAGAGAAGAACTGCATATTAAGGAAATAAAAAAGAACAGAGTGATGCTTTGTGGTGGGGGAAGGGGAAGGAAAATGTATTGATTTGCTTGACCACTCTGGAATGGATGGCCTTTGGCAAAGCATGAAAGCCATAAGAAGCCCGCAAAAGAGTTGCTGGCATTCTAATGTGGATGTGGAGCTCTCTTTTCCACACAGACTACCTCATTTGTGAGGGTGGAGGACAGCTGCTCCATGCACACAATCGCTTTGCATGTGTAGAGCTGTCCACTTCACTGAAGTGAACGGTGCTTCTCATGTGTGTAGGACCCCTGTGTGCTGAGAACAGAGTTTCTGACTAGTGATAATGGCTTCTTGTGAGGCTAGGACACGCCACTACATAATGAGCAAGGCCCTCTTGAAAAGTGCAAATGCTAGGAGGGTGCCACAGCAAGCTTTAGTGACTCAGCTTGGGGGTGTCCTGAAGGGTGCAAAAGAAATCCAGTAGGTGTGCTTGGCTACAGGAATGTCAGGTCTCAGCCAAGCTGTGGTAGATTTCTTGGCTGGCAGATGAAAAGGGGCAGAAGGTGTCAGCAGTTGAAAAAGGTGCGTTAACAGTACCTTTGGAAATACAGCTTTTTCACCAAAGTGCTATCTTGATTTTTTTACAACACCAATGTTTGATGATGATGATGACAATAATAGTAGTAGTAATATAAACAGATAAAGCCGAATGTATTTTATATATTTAAGTATAAATATAGCTTATATAAATTACTGCTGTATTTGGGTTTCTTTGTACACATGACAAAAATGCACTGGCCATGAACCCACATCAGCAGTGGCAAGTATTCTGTGAAAATAGGCCTGCCCTGTAAGGGCGCACCCACAAGCTAAGTTAGTGTGCGCAGTGCTGTTCTTCCACAGGTGCTGCTTCTTTGGGGTAGTACTGGGGCAATGCATTAAATTATTCAGTTCATCAGTGCTGTATTGTATGTTTTAACATACATGAGACAAGAGAGCTCCACATATGCATCAGCCCCACATTGCTTCCTCTCAGTAAGAGGTGAGAGCAAAACCTGCCCTCCTTCCCTTGCCACTGCCCTGGCTTCCAAGGCTAGGGATCACACTAGTAGGTTCATTGTGCAGTTCCCCTGACCCATGAAGGTATTTTATACCTCCGAACAAACAGAAGTGGCAAAAGAGCCCATTTAGCTCATTTCATTGAAGCTTGAACAGAGGAACTAACCTGTAGTTAGATATTAAAGGCTTACTATCCATGCCTTTGTATCTATAACTATTGAAAATTGCCACAATTACTTATCAGAATGATTATGCTTATTATTATTATTATTATTATTATTATTATTATTATTATCAGTCTTCAACACCATTTTACATTTATATGTCTAAGAGACATATTCTAGTGGAAAAGCTGTGTTCCTGTTTTGTAGCAAAAGCCTTATGGCATCTTAAAGACTAAGGGTACTATTGTCTGGCCTCTATCTGCTGTCCAGGAGTATTCAAGGATGCAGGAAACTTGCTCTGACCTGAAACACAGACTTTGGAGCACCCCACCTACACTCTTGTAGTCAGAGCACAAAGAACCCACACCAGTTGTGGCTCCAAGGACATAAGCAACCTTGGAGATGGTGTTTGGGAGGTAACGCGAGGAGGAATCAGGCTCAGACAACATATATAGCATCCTGATGGCACCTCACCCGCTTCTCCTTGTACTCCAGGGCAAATACAGGAGAGGCATGGAGACAGTGGTTGTCTCCATCCTCCCATCTTCCATAGGATGCTTATAATAGTCTGAGTTCAGAGGATTACAGGCAGCCACACTAGATTGCATTGTAACAGTGCAATCCTATGCATGCCTACTCAGATAAGTTCTACCTAGTTCATTAAGTTTTACTCAGAAATAACAGGGTACAGGATTGCAACATTACTGATCTGTTGTGGCATAGTAATAGTTTGATGGACTAGAACCCACCACAAGATATTTGGAGTATGTGTGTGTGTGTGCTTGTTTTTTAAAATCAGACTGAGGACCTATGCAGATGTTATGTTCATTGCTTTTGTCAACGGCCTGCTGTTGAGACCACAGCATATGAGAAAGGAAGGTTTAATACTTTTCTCCTCAGCTGTGATCTGGCCAGCTATTGTGCCTTGTTCTGCAATTGGTGCCCCTGCTGGTGTCAATGGAATTTTTATTTCTGTCACTACCAGCAGCATGAGGCATGGGAGGGAGGCAGGTTGGGAACGTGGTGCAAGAGGAAAGGGTGAAACCTCCCCTCCCCTTATGCTGTGGTCCAGTTGGAAAGGGGAGTGTGTGCATGTATGCCTAGGGTGACATTTTAAAAATTCTCAGGCATGAATGCAAGTAACACAGAAAATGTAAGCCCTTAACATATATTTAACTTTGCATTGCCTTCTGCACTTATTCTTTCTTAACATTATATAACTGACTTATAAATAACTGGATTTTACATAAGTGTATGCAGCTGTGCATTGGACAGGGATGGTTCCCTATTCCCTATGAAAACCCTAATCACTATCTATTCACACTGCCTGCCCCCAGTTTGCCCAAGTGCATTAGCATTGGTTGGGGTCTTAATGGTTAGGCCAGTACAGTTCAGCTGGGTTCACACGCTTCTGTGTTCTTGCCGATGCTAACAGTGTGCCCAGTGGCTGGCCAACTTTCTGAGGCCACAAAGCAAGGTAACAACTGCCGGCTTTTCATCCTTTAAACCACAACACCATCTCTACCTGTTCCTCCCTTCCTTTGTTCCTCAAGGCTTGACTGCTACCTCCTCCACCCCTTCTCCTCTTCCCTCCTGCTCTCCTGGCACATTTGATATGCTAGTTCATTTCCCAGAATTCGCTACTGCTCCTGGCTTTTTTTTTTTGTCATGCCAGATCTGTATGATGGATGGCAAAGACCATGGACGCCTCCTTCCCCATTTTTCTTTACTCGACTGTTTGTTTTGCTCATTCTGTGGTTCCTATAGTCACACAGGAGAGCACTCTACCCTCCCCAAAAGTATGGGAGAATAGATGGATTGCTCAGCGCTTGCCTCCTTTCTGTGGCTTTTAAGTCAATTTTGAGACATGTCTTGTGAGCAAAATTGAACTGTCACTAAAAATGCAATCCCCACAGTTTTTCCTGCACAGCCCCCTTAACCTTAAGTACATGCATCTGAATACTAACCACAGTCTGAATCCCTTTGCACAAAGCACAGGTGCTGTTTGCCTAAGTGGTAGCCAGGAAACATTTCTCAAGATAGGCCTTTTCCAGTGCTGTTTTCATCGGTCCGTTGTGTGGTTGCATTGCTTCTACATGCAGCTGCCCTACAGGAACCTGACCTTAGAGCCAGAGTAAGGCTTTGAGATGGAAGACAAGTGGGGTTTTCTGCCAAAAACTCCAGGTGGGTGGGGGCTTCCCATGAAACACATATTTCTTCTCCAAAGTATATTAGAGCACAATTGATCTACTTTAGTTCCAACAAATGAGAATTCTGACATACGTTTTCCTCCACTGTGGAATTTCCATGGAGGAGCAGGCAAGAAAGACCGTGGAAACTTGTTGTTGTAGTTGAAACTCCACCCTGCTTGGATTAGTTTAGATTGCCTATATCTACAAGACTGGAGGACTTATTAGGGTTACTTCCAGTTGTATATTGACAGCCATCAATGGAGATGTAGAAGATGGGTAAGCGTATGACTTCCTCCAAGGAGTTGCACTGGATTTTACCCTTGGGTTTCTTCCCATTCATTCATTGATCTTTGGAACTCTAACAAAGAGTAACAGACTAGCAATTAGTCTTTTGTTTGTAGATCTTCTGGGCAAAATCTACAAGGATTTTCCATTGCAGACAACTATTCACATGTATCCCCTTGTGGAGAAAAAAAACCAATGTCAAAATAAGGCCCTAGGAAGGGACCGTTGGATTAAAGAACAGCCAGTTTCTAGGACATTTATTTAAAGTTTCCTTAATAATTACAAGAGGAAAGCTTGCTTACTCATTATTGCTTTCTATTTTATTCTTAAATACTTCTCACATCTGTCTTTCCCCTTTCCTCTACTTTCCCCCATCCTTTTGCAACTATGAGAGCTACCAATGTAACACAATTTGTCATTAAAAATGAGCACTGCTTCCCTCTCTCTGTTCCCAATCCAAATTCCGGCTTGCAAGTTGAGGACACACCCCAAAACAAGATGGCACCCATCGAACTCTCCAGCATAGCTGAGCAACCAAACAGCAGTCCATTTGGGGCTACCTCTGATAAACAGCACCTCTGCGGTAACCTGCATTCAGTCCCTCCCTCCTACCCACCGCCATTCCCCCAAATTTCTGTCCTGCTTGCCTTAGCTAAATGAATATTGTTGTCGTTCTAACATGGTGTCCATGGCCACAAACTAACATTTCAATTCTTGTCCCTCCCCATTCCCTTGCCTTTCCCTCCCTTTTGTTGCCTGCCTCATGTATATCCATCTCTCCTTCTGTCTCTCTATTTTATCTTCTTTTGTCTCCCTACCTCCTCTGACAATCACTCCTTCCCTCCGTCCAGTAAACCTATAGAAATCAGCTCATCTTGTGCTCTGTTTTTGTCAAACGGACCTTTTGCCTCAGGCCTAGCCAATGCTACTGCTTCTAATAGAAATTCTCCTAAGTCGCCACTCTGTTCCTTTCTCTCTTACTTTCCTTCTCTCTCACACACTCCTTTGAGAAGAAAATGTTTGGTTCCCCCCTCCCCCCTTTTTCCTTTTCCTTCCCTCTCCTTCTTCTTTTCCCTGAATCTTGCTTTTCTTTCTAGGCCGCTAGATCAACCAAGGACCCTAGCACGATGAGTGAGACTTCAAGTCCAGTCTCAGAAAAACCTACTTCGGGCAGAACCTCCATCCCAGTCCTGACTTCATTTGGGTCACGGAACTCCTCCATTTCATTCTAAAACCTCCTTTGCCAACTTCTTGGGTTGTTTTCCTATCTACTGCTACTGGGGGAATGGGGGAACACTCATGTCTCTCTCTATGATTTCCTCCTCCCTTGCTCCTACTGAGGCACCCAAAAAAAGCCCTCCTCCCAGTTCCTTTAAAATGGCCCACCTGCGGTCTCACTGCCTCCTCAGACTTACTTCCTGCTCCCCTAAGGGCCATTTTCTGTATTGCAATGTGCTCTAGAATGGCCAATTTACTATCACACATCCTTTTTCAAATTGACCAAACTATTTATTCTTTTTCTTGGTATAACATGGCTGACCAGGTGTTTTGTTTCCTCTCAGAGTTCCCCCTCCCCTCAGCCCAAGCCCCCACCCATCCCAACTTCACTTTTCTATTCTGGCAAGGTATGTTGCTTATGTATAAAAAAACAGTAAGAAGTTTTGCCAGTTCCACAGACTCCAAGCAACATGGACAATGGGCAATGCTAGTCTTCGCTATTCCTCTAAGGAGGGTAAGAGAGGGAAACATATAGAAGGGATGAGGAGAAAACAGTTTCTGAAGATGCCTCAGCACCCCATGGACATTTGCTGCTACTCATTTTCCCTTACATTTAAACAAAAATAGTTGTAATTGATTAACGTGGACCCTTGTAGGTGTGTGCCGAGTCATTCATGAATCAATGGTGTTTCAAACTTGGGGCATGTGTGTGCTTCCATTTTGTGGGTTTCTATTGTTTACTTGCTGTATCGAAGACTGTTTTGGAGTGGGGGGGTGTATGCATGTGTGTGTGTGTGTATCATAAATTGATGTTTCTGTTTTTTCTTCCAAGCCATTGGATTAAATTTGGGAGAAGAGCAAAGACTTGAAAAAACATTGAATTTCAAACTGTAATGATGCCCCCCCACATCTTCCGAACCATGTAGAAGCAACCAACGGTTAAAAGAGGCAAGGGAGGGGGTAGGTTTACCTGAACAATATTGAGAACAGGGTCTGGAATCTGAAAGTCATGCTTCCTATGAAATTAATCCACATAATGTAGCACTTTAAATGTCTGTTCAGTTACTATAATTGTAAGAGGGGAAGGAGCCCTCAAAATGTGTGGTATACTAAATTGGAGGCAAAAGTCAGGGAGACAAGGGTGTCAGGGTATTAAAGAAGCTGGGCAATAGGGGAAATAGAGAACTTGGGGAGAATTTGCAAAGGACTGTAAAAGATGAAATAATATCCTGCCATGAGTTTTTGTTGTGTAGGAGTACAGGTGGGTCAGATCATGAACAAGTGACTCTATTTGGCTCAGATATTCCAAAGTAAGAGTTCTTCATGAGTAGAAAGAAGAGCCCTATGTGGAAAACAAGAACACTGTAGCCAAGAAAGTTGGTGATGCAGTGTCTGTGTAGTCTGTTGTTGGCAGAGATTCAGCCTTTTACCTACTAAAAAGCCTCCATGCCAGAAGAAGAGAATGGCAGGGCAGTGAAGTGAAGTGAAACGAAACAGCTCTTGGGGAAATCCTTCATTTCAGTAGAGCTTGTATAGGAGAATTTCCCAGTAGATTGTGTCCCCAAACAAGGCTGTTTATAGTGGGTTTTGGAAGACTCAGCCCAAGCTGTATAGATCTTTACTATTTATGGAAGGTTAAATTTGCCTCCACACCCCTGGGAACTTTAATCTTGGACTGAAATAGAAAATCAAGTTTTGAGTGAAAGGTCCAGGGAGTTCCAGGAACACATTTCCTTGACTTGTGAAATATGGAAGCTTTAGTGGCTTTCTTAAAGATTCTGCATGGCATTTGGGCTGCAGAAAGCACAATGGGAAAATAAAAATATAACTAAATTACAGCACAGTGAGGGAGACTGAAAGACATGGGAATGAATGGGTCCAGGGAAACAGTGTTGTATATGCTGGTGGCTGAACGACAAAAACATTGGTGGGCCTAGTGAGAAAGACAGAGGATGGCTGGTTGTCATGAAGGATTTCTTCAAATACAAGTGTAGTATGCATGTGTGTTTTCAGAAGGGGAGGCTGGAGTGGGTGGGAGAATGTCCCTTTAAAACAAATTCAAGGGCACAACCAGGGGAGGCATCATCCTGCACAAACACCATTAAGTGAATGGGCACTCGATGAGCACATGACCATGTCCTTGCATAGCTCCTACTCCTTTCAGTGATGTTTGTACAGGAGAATATTCCCCGGAATTAAGCCAGAAAAAGTGAAGCACAGAGAGCAGATGAAAAACCATCTGACAGGTATGTGTGCATGTGTGAGGGTGCATATCTATGTGTATATCCAAATGATGTGCTGTTGTAAAAAAAAAAAAAAAAAGGAAAGAAAGTAAGAGTCTGTATGCAACACAATATAAGATGTAATCACTCCTTGCGTTGTTGACTAGCTTGTCCTTTTTAATTTTATTATTGGGATTTTTTGGTCGGGGGACTATGGATATTTGTTTGCTTATGGTTTTTCTTCTTTTTTTTGTAAATCAATCATTTTTGTATAAAAATTTTAAGAGAGCTTTTTTTGAATAACAAAGTTTTAAAAAAAGTCAAAAAAATTAAAGATGTAACAACAGTCCACAATGCAATTTCTTGGGATTGCAAAGCAAACAGACAAAAGATGAAAAACAAAACAAACAAACAAAAAAGCAACCTCTTTACATTTAAGTGAAGTGTCTTAACATTTTATATATTTGTTTTAAGAAATATATTTACATATTATATATATATAATATACGTAATATAAATATATATATATAAATATTGAAAAAAAAGAAAATGAAATTCTTGTTGTGTCTAGTATATTTAGGGTTGGGGGGAAGAGAATGGTGTGGTTTTTTTCCCTGATAAAATTATGTATGTAGCTCTTTGTGCTTTAGAAACTATCAAGGTGATGGTGATGATGATGCAAATAGAGCTAGAAGGCACAACCCACCAGGTAATTTGAGGCTCTTGGGCAGCTCCCATTCCTGATGGTGTTGCACAGGAGGTTTCCTGCTGGGTTGTGCCTTTTAAGAGTTTAGACACCCTTTGGCTAAGCTAACATTTCATCTCTATGACTGTCCATATTTGTTTCCCATTGTCAATTGCGTTCATATGCCCCTTTTATGTATGCCACCGGCAGGAATGGAGCTTGCACTGCCCGTTATTTCATTGCATCCTTTGTTCTTGTCTTCTTGAAAGGGTGGTTTTTTTTTTTTTTTTTTTTGGCAGCAGAAAGGCGCCTAAGACTAGTGGAGGAGGAGGAGGAGGAGGAGGATTTGAGCCAGTCATAGGGCTTCTGCACATGAGGCATTGAACTCAGTGCATTACTGAGGCTGCTTCTTCACTTTTTTGAGGGAGGAAGAAAGTCCTTTTAATACTCCCCGCCCTGCCCTGCCACAGAGCTTTCCTCTCCATCCTTCTGTAAGTTCCTATCTGTTCCATTACATGACACAAAATGGCAGTGTGGTCTAGAGCAGAATTTAGAATTTCCAGAAGACTTCTGTAGTGGATGATGGCATCATCCAGGAAAATATACATTATTCTTGCTCTAAAAAAGAAAACTGTGAAAATGGCTGTAAAACATGGGAGGGGTCCAGGGAGGAGAGCAACATTGCATAAAGGACTTGCAAACTTCTGTGAGCAAGGGATCAAAAGCACACAATAATGCCTTGTGTCAAAAAGCACATAATCTCTACAAGCAGATCAACTAAATAAGCAGCTTCTCTGCCATGGTTTTTATATCCCAAGGAACCTTGTGCATGATACCATCTTGAGGACCACTTTTAGGGGAAAGGTGGGATAGAAATAAATTGTGGTGCTTCAGGGAATGGGAAATGGAGAGCAAAAGACTGCACACTTCAGTTTCTAAGGTCCCTCAGATGAAACCCTAGCTCTTTACACAGTGTTCAAGATGGGATAGGATTCTAATTCTTTTCAGGTAAACCCAAAGCCCCTCAACCTATTTTCAGTAAAGGAAATGGAAAGCCCATTTATACAGGGAAACGAGACCACAGGGTGCCATGTGACCCAGGACAGAATGATTTTAGCGTGGCAGAGGCAGGCACTCCGGAAGACAGCTGCCTGCTCCTCCTCTCACAGCTGAAGCCCCCAGCCCAGCAAGAGGGCCTTGTGGAAGAGGAAGCTGTCCTTTCAAATGCCTGCTCCCTCTCCTGGAGCCATAAGCACCGCCGGCTCAAGACAGGTCAGAATTTGGAAATGGGCCATGTAGTAATTATTCTTTTCATAATAATGATTTATAATTGTAAGTATTTCAAAGTGTAAAATTAATGGTGTTAAAAATTAGAGTTGATAGCATATAGTTTATGCAGTTATACAGGCGGTGAATGGAGTACAGTCTGAATTGGGGCTGGCCCAATTTGAAATTAAACCATTACTCTTCCTCTTTTGCTCTACTTGGAGCACTGGGTTTAAAGCAGTGTGAAATTGGCTGTTACTTGTTGTTAAAATTATTGTGTTTGAGCACACCTTTGTTATACTAAGAGCAGACCTCCTGAAATCAATGGGATTTAAATTTGTCATGATGATTAACTTAAGTAACATTGATTTCAACAGGTCTACTCTGACTAAGGAGTAGACTGACTTTGTTTTTCTATCATTGTTTAAAAACAAACTCCGCCTATTCAGTCCAGCTGACTGGATTTTTGGAATACTGGAGCTCTATTAAATGTCAGTCTTTCCATTTAAAGACCAAGTAGCTAGATGGGGTTCATCTCTGGAAGGACTCAGTAGAATAGGAAAAGATATCTCTCCATGTAGTAAGAAGTTGATGTAATACTCAGCAAGTATCCATGGTTATGAAGAAAATGAAGGGTGATTTCAGTTCTAAACTTGAAAGATTCTAAACAGTCAGGGATACATGAGAAGCGGTATCTCATTCCACTGAGTAGCAAAATACAAAGGGCAGGATTTTAGAACACAGGCAGCTCTACCTTAGGATGAGTTGAGAACCATTATGACACATGCAGGATTGCTCAGTTGTGCTGTGGTACAACAACACTTCATCAGGAGTGTCATGGTCTCTAGCTTCTTTTTGCACATTCAGTTT